TAATTCAAAGATTGGCAATATAATCTCTACCTATATATTTTTTTTATATATCTTAAAGATTTCTCTACCCAAAGAAAAATTAAGAGACTTAGAGATATTCCAGAAGAAAATGATTCTAATTACAATTCCTATGAATTCGGTAATGGAACGTGGCTCTCCAAACACGAAAGAAAAATATGTGATTGTTTTAAAAAATTAATATATATTATGTATTTATGGATAAAAATGCGTTTAAAACAAGTATTCAAACAAACTGATTTTAGGGAGCGAAAATTTTAAAGCATTTGGTGAAGCTGTTTTCAGTTCCCGAGTTTATGCGCATTGACAAAGATGTTAGAAATAGCGAGAAAAAAATTATGAATTGAATAAGTATTTGCGTAAATGATACTGAAACAACTTCAAACTTAACAAGTTAGTTAAAAGACTTGATACTGGATGCGTTAAGGTGATTTAATTAAGTTTGGACATTAAGTCACCATTAAGCTGCAGCTTAAAGGTGGCTTAATGGTAGCTTAATGAAGTTTGGACATTAAGCACCTAGAAGCTGCAGCTTAATGGTGGCATAATGGTGGCTTAAAGGAATTAACTTCTATAAGCCACCATTAAGCTACCATTAAGCCACCATTAAGCGATTGCTTAAAGATGGTCTTTCGTCCTGTGTCGGGTTCTTGTGAACAGTGGCCTCAAAAGCATCCCAGAATTCCTTGAACTTGATTTTGTCTCCACTGTAAGTAGGTAGTTCCTACTTTGGTAGTTTTACAGCCACTTGTCCAGTCTTTGGAGTATTTTGTTGAAGTGACAGCTCTTTGAAATGAAGTATTTGTTCCTGCATTCTTGACTGTATATAAATCATCTGTTTTAGTCTTGGGTCTGTCATTTCAGCAGTTTTTTTTTCAGTGTTGATAGGTTTTCTTGTAGCGCTTTCTCTAGAATAATGAGCTGATCTGTGCGTTCACTTGCTTCAGTCAATAGAAGAAATGCCTTTTCACTGTCCGCACTAAATTTCTCCTGTTCACCATGTTTAATCTCTTTGTCTTCTATCACCAATGACCACTTCTCCATTGTCTCTTCCAGTTTAGCACTGAGTTCTTTTATACGTCTCACTGATGTTTCCACATTCTTAAGTAGAGCTGCTGGATTCTCTTCTTAAATATCCACAGACATGAATTCCTCACTCTTTTTCATCTCTTTATTTATAAGGTTCCTGTACCTGGTACAGAGTCCCTTGAGATAGGCCACAGACATTTAGTCAACACAATACAAAAGCTCTTATAGTTCCCACAGCAGTGTCCCGGGTTCCAGCACCAATCAATGTGGCGACTGTCTCTTATCCTTTCCTGAATATACAACTCTGGTTTTCTGGTTTCACATTTAATAAACAAGCACATAAACAATACAATACAAATATATGATTAGGTTGAAAAAAGAAGCAATGAAAAAATGCCACATTGGAAAATTTTGTACATACATGTATATCAAATAAATACAAAGCTGTTAAATGATCTATGTATCTAACTTCATATGCTAGTATTCTAACTCCAGAACTATTTATACAGATTTACTATCATGTCAACAAACAATAGACCTGACTCTATTTTTTTTTTTTACATATATCACAATCTTAACTATTATCAATCTGTATCGTCTTAAAATCTGTTCTCCTATAACTATACCTTTTACCTTACATAAACACAAATAACTGAAATCTCTATTAAAACTTATTTACTTAAACGATCTAAATCTCTGTCTCAATTCTCTGAACTTGATCTTCTGCTAAACTTACTTCCTCTATCTTAAACTAGACAAAGGATAAACAAACGGATAAAAACAAAAACGGACTAAAAATACACTATATACTTTGACCTGATAAAAACGGACACAAAAACAATTACACGTATGAGACAAAATACCATTACAACACTATTACACTACATATCAACAAATCAATAGAAAATAAAAACAAATATTAAACATTGTTTATTGTGACACATTCACAACAATGTTTGTAATTTTTAAAGTAGCATTGCTGGCACTATTTTTGTGATCTTAAGGACATTGGCAAGACAAGGTTTTCCGGTGAAAAAAGGTTTAATACATGTGTTTTTTCACTTATGAAATAGTGATTGAGAGTGATCTCCCGTGTAGAATTCTCTTAGCGGTGAAAACCAATAAAGCGTATGTTTACAGAGGTAAACAAAAGCACGTGTACTTCTTTCAACGGGTAGAATCATCTATACAGAAAGAAAGAAAAGTAGTAATGGCTTTGTAGTAAATTGTATTCAGGGGACAAAGTAGCCAACAGGTCGTCATTTACCATAGTTATGCTCAGTATGCTGGGAAGGGCAATGATGTGACATATGCTGAAAGGTAGACCGACTGAGATCAGTTCTCAGGTTGTATGAAGGAAGCTACGAATAAAATTTGAAATAAATCCATGCCAATATTTTTATGACAATGTGTTTCAATCAATTCAGTCAATTACATGATAGAATCACTCAACCAGTCTGACTCTCTTGACCATTATGAATAATACGTAATTATAGCTGTGAAGGGAAGTAGCTCAAAAATAAAGATTGGTGCCGGTATGTCCTTGTCTTGTTTCTATATATATATATATATATTCAGCCAAAATATGTAGAAGTCATAGGAAATGAATTTATTATCTGTATTATAATGTATATTATGCAAAAACTATAAAAAATAAGTGGGTGTTGGAGAAATATTATGGTGAAAATTATGTAGTTCCCTTTTATCAACATTCTACATAGGAAATGCATTGAGAATTGCAAAAACACTGATTTGACAGAATCTAAAAAAGACGACTGGCTTGGTAGGTCAAATAATCCAGAATATAGCCTGTTTAGTACAATTAAACCTACTCAAAGAGTTCTTGAAAAATTCTATACTATAACCAGGAACCTTGCCAATGTCCTTAAAGGATTGTCTTAGCACTTTTTACTTGGACAGCAAGAAATAAACACATAAACTTATCCTCGTCTCCTGTTCTGTTTTCAGGTTCAAAGTCTTCTTACATCATAACCCGAAATTAAAGATATCACCCAAAAATCGGTGATAGAGTGTTGGACTGAATCCGACGACTCCCAATGAAAAAGAATAGACAAATCAATTACACCATCAAAACCAGACAGACAACAGCCTCAGAAGAACAAACTTATTTGCAGGACATTGAACATCATCTGGAGAATAGTGCAAAAACATCAAACCAAACTGTTACAACACAAGTAACTGGCAACATTCCACAAGAAACTGGAGAACAATTCAATCCAACAAGTGCTTTCCAATCCAACCACACTGTCACAACACAACCTCAGATACCTACTGACAACAATCCCGAAGAAACTGAGGATAATCTCAACTCAGCAAGTATTATCCAATCAGACACTGAAACTGACATCCTACAAACAGAACACACTGATTCAGAAAACCTTCAGTGTGATCTCTATCTCTTGTAATTCTATATGTGCACAATTCTGTTATAGAAAAGACAATGAATATTTGTAAAGAATGAATTGTGTTGAAAACGCAGGTAGCTTAGGGACTCCCACATATACATCAGCCTATGCATAGGTTCGGGAAAGCTATTATGACGTCACGTTAAAACAATACAAATGAATCTCTATGAATAAATACGATATTTTCTTTTAAAAACACACTAAATACTTTCGTTTCTCATAAATATCATAAAGATAAATTGATGTGCAACTTATCTTGCCATAATAACACTTAGCGTGTGTAGAATGAAAGCCAGCTGGATCTCACTGTACTTACTGAGATGACGTCATTTCTTAGTTTGACACGCAGTTTCTCTGTACTTGAGGCGTGGATCAAACTTTTATCGTAGCTTGAAAAAATAAAATAAATACGAAACTGGCGTAGTCGGAGCAAAAGAGAGACACATTCTGAAATATATTAATCCACATTTTATTGTCAAACTAAATTGATAATGTGTAGACTTTATTTAAAGCCGTAGGGAGCACATTTGTACTGTAACATGCTAGAATGACAGGCCCAGCCCCTCGAAAATATTAAAAGTTCAACGATATCCGCTTCACTATGAATTCTGAATTTTTAAACACGTGTAGCTATTATTCCTACTATTGTGAAAAGTTCTGGGAGCTGGTTGTGCATTGTTTATTTATTCCGTCCTGTAACATTATTCCAACGCGTATTACTTTTTTGTCTGGAGTTTATAGAAAGACGGATAAATTTCAAACAATTCCCGAGCATGAGGAAGTTGCTCCCAGCACTTTTCGTGTTAAGGAATTTGTCTCAAAGAAAACAGAATAATTTTTATAGTGGAAAGATGCCCGTATATCGTTGAACTTTTACGATCTTTGTAGTAGTACATATATGTTCTAATTTAAACCTGTCACGTGACAAACAGCTGATGTAAGCGATGTCGCTTTGGTCGAACTCAGCAGAGACCCGATATATACAAGTGCAAACACCACAATTCACATTTATCAAAATTAACGATGTTGAAAAAAATATTAAAATTGTATTCATTTTCCCTGAATATATTAAGGCGTGTATTTCATGGGCGTCCTTAACATAGCTGCGAAAATGAAATAATTTAAAAGAAAAACAAAAACCTGCAAAAGCTTTACAAGAACATCAAAGTAATGATATTATATTTTTAAAATTGTAAGAAATTTTCAAAAAAGAAAGATACCGGTATGTAAAAGCATTGTTTAAAGAATGAGTTATCTTCCATGAAAACCAAGAGCGGGCATAGAATATTTATAGATCGTTAATTACGACATAGTACAAAGTTCTTTTTTCTTTTCCGTTTCATTTCATAAGTTTAAATATAAACAATTAATGAGAAAATAAGGACAATAATCGTTTTCTTGGTAAACGTGTTTAGAAAGTAATTTTACCATCCAGCATTCTATAAATGCATTTTTATATATTGATATGCAAATCATTACCTTTGAAGGCTCATCAATAGAGAGTCTAATTGAATTTTAATCTTTTAAAGAGAAGATGGTTGCTGCTTTGGAACTGTTTGGAATTCAAATCTCAGCAAATGTATAGGTAATGTAAATTAATTTAGACTCTTAGATTTCAGAAGAAAAATATATACATGCATATAATATATTATATCTCACCTGAAATAATAAAATTGTGTGGAATTGACTTCAATTAGTTTTTTCGCATATTATCATACTTTTAAAGCACAAACAGATGAGAATTATCAGGAAGAGGAATTGTTAGTTTTAGGAAATAGTTCATCAATTCGCACATGAATATATCACGATAAAAATACATTCTGATAATGAATGAAACGATTGTCGTTCGTTAAACATATACAATTAAGTTGTAGATAAACATGAATATAAGCAAATTTGTTTCATCGAAATAAGAAGAAAATATTATGAATTTTGTGAACCTATATCTTCACTTCAAAGTCTAAAACAGGAGGATCTGAACTATGACAAGGCACCAAGCTGTTGAATTGACTCGAATTGTATCACGGATTTGATCAAATACCCTACTCTTTTTCTATTTTAAGATATATATTCAACTTTTTATTTATGTCTACATATTTGTTTCAGATAGCTTAATTTCAATATATATGAACTCAAAAATCTGTAAGGCATTGAAGCGAAAATGAAATCGCTGTGAAGGGCATTTTTAAAACGTAATTCATACTTTTAAACCAGCGATAGCTAAATTATAATGTTTTGATATTTGATATCAAACGACTCAATATGTTGTACATGTAAATGCACGTAAAATGTTGTTGAAAACTTAAGCTGAACTTCCAAGTAAATAAAACACCCAAGCACTTACAATTTATAATGAAAAATAAAAGAATTCTTTTTTATGATTTATAGAATGCTCCATTGGCTTCTGGGGAGAGAGCTGTGTGCAAAAATGCAAATATCCTATTATGGCATGAAATGCCATAAAAAGTGCAACTGTAAAGAAATCATGTGCAATTATGGTACTGGATGTGTAGTGCAAGGTTAGTATTTGAGATGAAAGCAGCATTTAACTATGTTGATAAAAATAGATGTGTAGTGCAAGGCTAGTGTTCAAGATGTAAGCAGCATTTAACTATGTTGATAAAAATAGACATAAAGCAATATACATGTATTCTAAAAGTATGTTATCAATGTGAATATGGTTTTGTAGACTAATCAGAAGAAAGAATTTGTAAATTAAACCCCTTTCATTATTTTGCAGAGATTGGAAAATCACAAGAAATGTCCACAACACCCCATCATATGATCATTTCCTCTGAATACCAAATGACTTTTCGATTTAATTATAAATCTCAAGTTAACAAAATTTTTCGATTATCTACTTTGCATTTAAGTTTAATAATCTGCTCAATCTTACTCATTTCTGTTTTCTTTTCCTACCTTATTTTGCTAACGTATGAAAGAAAAATCCATTTTAATAGACCTCTACCAACAGATTCAAATGTTTACGCAAATTATAATGCTTGTAATGGCATTTCCCTTCATCTGTAAAACAAATTTATTACCAATCTTTTGTAATTAAAATGTTCTGTTTGTGGAGAGAATGCATTTATAAATATCTTTCTTAGTCTAATTTATAATGTATATACCTGTATATATCTCTGTTCTATGGAATAGCTTGCCCATTAATTTATACATTATATGCTCTATATGTTCTTATCTGTTGAATTATTATAATATGCGATGGTCGGCTGAGGAGTGTACCAAAATATTTTAATATAACACCAGGTTGGATGCAAATTAAAACTAAAAGGATATTAATATCGATATATCGATTTCAAGCTCTCTCTCTCTCTCTCTCTCTCTCTCTCTCTCTCTCTCTCTCGTGTGGGTGTGTATCCTCAATACCTTATTGACATTTAACAAACACTACAGATATACTGGTTTTCATTGAATTCTTTTATATTAGACTAATTTTCATTTCAATTATAGAAGGACATGTAGCATATGTAATAAGAATTTTACAAGATTAGATAAATTAAAAAAAAACATAGAAATTTCTGTTTTCTTTCTAATTATTCAAACAAAAGAATACGTTAAAATATGCATGAAATATGAGGGATACAAGCAGTTATTAAGCTCAAAAGTCCATTAGAACAACACAAATTTGGAGCCTACGAATATGGGCCTCTAAAAACAAAAGACTACTTATGCAGGAAAAATGAGTCCTTCTTTGATTTTCTGTAAACCAACTATTATTTGCGACAACTTTTATTCACGATTCTTCCGCTAAGAATCTATCTGCGACTACTTATTTTCAATATTCACTACTGTAGATTCCTAAATATACGCGAGGACTAAATTATCACGTAATTACGCGAGAAGCACCACTCGCGAAATAAAATCACAGGCTTTTATTTTTATGGTGCTTTAATGCATGTAAAATTTCTAGATAAATCACACATTCGCGAATTTTTTTCTCGCAATTTGACGCCCTTGGGCCATTTCGCGATATTAAGTACTCGCGTAAAATAAGGAATCTACAGTATTTCAATATATTTCAACATTGCCAATATTTACATTTTTTTAATAAGCCAATCATAAAATTGATTTCAATGACATCTTCGTGTATAGTCACGCGTAGAAATGACTCCAAAAACGTAAGGCATCGTGACGTCACAATGATGTGACGAAAATATGAAAAATAACGAAATAGGACAGCAAAAAATCAAACGTAGTGTGTATTTTTCAAGGTTTTATATTTTAATATATCAATAAAAGAAACGTTTTCCATTTTTCAAATATTTTTATGTTTAAATCACACACTCATGCACGTAGGCATATTTTTTCACTAAGCGCTATCACATTAGGAATTCTTGAATAATGGTTTGAGGAAAATATTTTATGAATGAAACTTTAGACATAACAGTATTCTTTTCAGGACTAAATTTTAATAATAATATACATAATAATAATCATAATCATAATAATGATAATAAACCTTTTAAAAATGTCTGCGTTACTTTTTTTTTCTTCCACGATTACAGAACCTGAATTAAAATACATCAATATTCGTGCATTGTCAAATTTCAAAAAAGTTATACAATAAAACGAAACCTAGTATGTAAGAATGATTTCAAATTTTATAAAAATGATAGAGTTTATCTAATTTACATTTTTTTTTACAATATGAAAAGAATGCATATTCCAAAGTAATGGCATCCTTCCAGACAACTTGAAGTTTAAAACTTTCATCGCAGGTTGCATCATGCAGCTGTTCTGAGTTTAGACTGACACTTCATTTCCTAAAAGTGTAAAGATACCACATGACTTGCTGTAGGAACAGCATACATGCTTGATCTATATGTATCTTTCAGCAGAATAAATGTTTTTTTATGCAAGGAATGGCTGTTAACATGATTGCACATATCGTATCATTTACATCGGAAAGATCAAATGAATTTACATCCTATTACAACCTCGATACTGATGAAGGTAAACTGCATATTGTTGTACTCCTGGTATTCTAAAGACTGATACTACTTATCGTTTTACTTATTAATTAAAAAAAAATGATAAAATCGATTTTGACATCATACAATGAGGCACATGCAAGCTAGAAAGTTTAAGAAAAGGTTTTCATTTCTTGAAACAAACACGGTATTATATTTTTTTATCTGCTACATGTAGGCTTACACAAATAGAATACCATTCCTAAAACAAGGACTTATGAAGTTGCATTTTCGCAATTTTGAATATTATCTCTGCAAAGATGGAATACACTTCTATCAAGATGGGTGTAGTGTTTTGTGTTCTTTATCCAACGGGATAAGGGATAAGGATGGGCCAAAAAAGGGAAATAAACATTTTACACGGAAATATAAAGGAGATAGTATCAAGCTGTGAAAAGTGATATTATTATACATGTGTATACAACCATTCTCATATAGTGAATAATCAAATTTGTTCCAATCACAGACACCAGGGATCGGTTGGAACCACAATATTCTTTCAAAGTATTATCTATAAAAATATTTTTTAAAAAGTTGTACAAATTAGCACAAAGGTCAAGGGTTGATATTACTGATATGCAAGCATTCTTACATGGTACCCAGAATAAGATGTGACCTCAATAACAGGTCATCGTCACGGTAGCTCAGTCGGTAGAGCGCTCGCTCAGTGATCGGAAGTCATGTGTTCGAATCACGACCGCGACTTACCTGAGTCGATTAAAAAGGTACATTTAGCAACTATCCCTTCGCCAAGCACTCGGGACTTTAAAGTGAAAGTTGCAGGTTTTTCGGATGAGACCGTGTCACGATAAAGAACCCTCACTGCTCAATGGACCTGAGTGCCGAGTAAATAGAACAAAAATCTTTAAAGATCTTAAAAAAAACCTTGACAAGAACAGCAAAATCATGATAATCATTATAAATATGCAAGGGTTCTTGGGAAAATATTTACTTGGGTGCAGATTCAAATTTATTCATATGATGGTGGTGGTGATGGGGGTGATACCTGGATATGCTAAAAGCAATCTTTGAAAATATTTACATGTATAACAACAGGCTAAGGCTTGCTCATATTAATATTCAAGAATATTTAGATCAAGATATCTCCCTCAGTTCCCCTTGTAACTTTTAAACCGTGTATTCATCTTAGGAATTTTGAAATCAACTTTGTGGCAAACTTTAAACTTCTAGTTTTTATTCATAATAGGACTCTGATGACCAAAAAACAAACAGCATCTCTAGGTAGAGTAGAAAAAAACATGTACACACCAATATTTGAGTTTAATTTCTGTTTTTCAGGTGTTTCTATATCTTGAACATTTTTCTTAGGACCAACTGAAAAAAAAAAAAAAAAAAAAAAAAAAAAAAAAAAAAAAAAAACATTTGATGTTATCTCTACAGAGTAAAATATCGAGAAAAAAAAATCACATTTACTAATCTGACAATGTATATAATAATGAGACATGAATTTTTTAAATCACAAATAACTGCTTCTTCAGAAAGAAAATATATTATCTTTTTTCCAGTAACACTTTACACGTATAGGTCAATGAATTTTCGCCGAAACGTTGTACATGTTACACATAAAACGTTAGTATAAAGGTGTTCACAACAGATTTTGGTTGAACAGTCGCTAAATTAATTAAATTACAAGTTAAAAATAAAATGCACTGTCAACTTCTCTTGAGACAATGCACTCGTTACATTAGATAAAAGAAAGTAAAAGAAAGTAATATGATTTTTTTTCAGACGAAACACATTCTTGGTATTTTAATCCTTTGGAAATCATTATGTGTATAAACTGTTGTTGAGAAAATGCACTCGTTAAATCAAATGAAAGAAAGTAGCATGATTCTTGTTTCGCCTGCAGAGCAGAACGGCATTAAGGGATCACTTTACCCTGCGTCTCCCTGTCTTTCCGTCTGTCACACCCTATATCTCAAGAACTTTAAGAGGTGTGGATTTGATATTTTGCACAAATATTGCTTGTCACTATGGCTTTTATGTATTATCATGGTTACCGAACTTGTGACCTTGACCTTGCTCTTTGACCTACTTTTCAAAATAGCTCATAGGGGCGATATACAGTATTTAAGAGGTAAGTCTATGCTATTTAGCATGTGCAATGTTTGTCATAAGACATTGGTATGAAACACTCATAGAAATTCTTTCAATCATCACTCTTTTCAGACATCATATTTTGACTACGGTAATTTTGGAGGAGTTTTGATGCTTGCAAATATCCCTTATTTGGTCCCACACAGATATCACGAGCTATAATCTTATCAAACGAAATTAAATAAATATATGTACTTATCACACGAGCTCTAGAGGACTGATTTCTATATTTTTTAAAGACATAAAGTGATGTAGTTTCCTTTTTCCTCCTTTTCCTCTTTTTTATTTATTGCAATTATGCAAACTTCAATTTCCATTGGAAACAGTCGATAAAATGAGAATATATGACAAAACACACTGTTACAACAACAACTTACATTTTTTCCTTGATTTGTATCCGACAAGTACAAAGAGGAGAAGTGTTACGAGAACTACGATCAAAAATCCAATATAAATGGTTGAATGTCCTCTTCGAGTATATGTGTTATTTCTCCTTGATCCACAAGCATCGCTCTTTGATCTATGAATAAGTTAAATTGAGCATTTCACATTTTTTTTCGAATAATTCCTTAAATGTATTTTTCTCTACATATGACGTTTTAAAAGGAGGATTTCGAGGATCTGTGGTACAGTGCTGCTATCCCACAAGTTGACATGGGATGGGTTTGGATAGGATTCAGGATTGAGGATTCACGATAGAAACATAT